CAGGGCCCTGCTCGCCACGGAACAGCTCTGGGGACTCACACAGCTCCTTGCTGAGCAGCTCGGCCTTGGCTGCACGTGGCAAGCACTGGTGCGGTGCTCGGCACAGCCTCGGCTCGGCAGCCCGGCGGAGGGATGGGGATCCCGGAACCCCTGTGCCATGTCCGATACCGGTGGATACTCACAGCTTCTCAGCCCACAGGTATCCCTTCCACGGCTGAGGGCGAATGAGGGCGAGCGCGTTCCCAGTGAAATCCCTGCGGAGAAGCCATTGGCAGCGTCACCCCCAGCACAAACCCTTCCCCTGCCCCAGGGCTGCGGGGTGGCCGTGAGGCCGGCCTGGAGCTGCCCCCTCGGCGCTGCCCATCAGCCCTCCACAGGCAGCGTGTCCCTGGAGCCGCTCTCGGGGTGTCCGGGGCAGCGCCCGGAGCTGCAGGGCACTCACAGCACGGAGAAGGGCCGTTGGGGGGTGGCCAGGGGCACGCGGGCCAGGGCAGCGCTGCTGCAGTCCAGGCGGCGCCCGCGGCAGCGGCAGGGCCCCGGGCAGGGCCCCAGGGGCCGGGCCAGGCCGGGGGCCAGGCCCAGCAGCAGCAGCAGCAGCAGCAGCGGTGCCATAGCAACACAGGGCCTGAGCGCCTTTGGTACCACACGAGGCTCAAGGCTGGGGATCCAAACCAGGAGCTCTCGTCTGCGACCAGCAGCGGATCTGGCGCTGTGCTGGCCCTGCTGGGCAGATACAGCCCGGGACACCTCACACCTCACAATGGGGCCTCGCCGCAGGAGTTTCATCGGCCGGGCCTGCGAGCGTGCGTCCCCACTGTGACATGGGACAATCCCCTGCCGTTGGAGCTGGTCGCTCTGCCCCACCTGGGGCGTGTTACAGACCAGCACATCTACGCGTGCAGCACGTGTGCGTTCAGTACGTGTTTGTGCAGTCTGTGCGCGTCTGCCACACGTGTGTGCTGGGTGCTCTCTGAAGGCAAGGGAAATCGGCTCGTCCCAGAACGATGTGTCCTCACTGGAAAAGCTTGACTCGGATCTGGCATCACTGAAATGACAGCAGGGACGTAACAGCAATGACATAACAGCCGTTGGGGAGGGGGTTGGAACTGCATGAACTGAAGGCGGGGCCTTCATCGCCTCCTTCGCACTTACGACCACCTTGTACAAGCCTGACACCTCACCAGCAGTGGACTGAGCCAGGGCCACCTCCCCGCGGGGCAGGGATAGGAGCGGTGGGAAGCAGGCATGGGGCAGGGAGCAGGCAGAGAGGCGGAGCTGTTGCCTGCTCCTGCCCGTACCTCATCCTCGTCCCTGTCTGTGTCCTTGCTCCTGCTGCACCACTTGGGCCAGACTCAGGGGCTAAGACTCAGAGGCTGAGACTCTGTGGCTGAAACGGTGGCTGAGACTCTGGGCCTCAGGCTTTGGAGCTGATACTCTCAGACTCAGACTCTGCGGCTGAGACTGCTGCTGAAAGTCTATGGCTAACACTCTGGGGTTCAGACTTTGGGGCTCAGACTGGGGCTGAGACTCTGTGGCTCTGACTCTGGGTCTCAGACTTTGAATGTCAGACTCTGTGACAGAGACTGTAATATAGACTCTGTGGCTGAGACTGTAGCTGAGACTCTGGTGCTCAGGTTTTGGAGCTGAGACTCTCAGCCTCAGACCCTGTGGCTGAGACTGTTGCTGAGACCGTGGGGCTGGGTCTCTGGGGCTGAGACTGTGGGGATGAGACTCTGTGGCTGAGACTGTGGGGCTAAGACTGTGGGGCTGTGTGGGGGTCGGAATGTATCAAAACTGTCAGAGACCATGGGAAGGAGGAACTACAGCAGGCAATTAAGAGCGAGCCGTCCCTGACTGGTACTTGGAAGTTGTTGGAACTGGCAAGGAACGAGGATGTCAGAACTGGAAAGAGGGGAGTGCGCATGCTTTTGGAGGAGCAACCCCCATGCACCTCAGCTGAATAAAGCATACCTACTTTACAACTCTAAGGAGTTGGAGTCAATCCACGTATCACTTTCACCTGATGTAACTGCAAGGCAAACCCAGATGTGCTCTGCTAATTGCTTGGAAGCATATAAATATTGTGTAAGCTTTGCAATAAACGATCCAGCTTGCACTCTACCTCTGGGTCCGTGCCTCCGTCCTCACAGGGCTGAGACTGTGGTGGTCAGATTTTGGAACATACTCTGGCTGAGACTCACAAATGAGGACTCTGGCACTGAGACTCGGGCTACGACTGTAGGTCTGAGACTCGGGCTAAGACTCTTGGGCTGGGACTGTGGGGCTGAGACTGTGGGGCTGAGACTCTGGGCCTCAGACTTAGGAGCTGAACACTGTCCTGGGTTCAGCAGTAGCAGTCACTTTTTCTCCTTAGTAGCTGGTGCAGCGCTGTGTTTTTGACTTTCAGCCTGGGAGCAGTAATGCAAAAAGATTTAACCAATGTACAGGAAGGGGTAGTGTTAAGCCGCTTGCTTAACGATGTTAATGCTTGCCCATACTCCACAAACATTTTTCATGCTCATTATGCTGTGCTAGAACAGGATGGGAGGACACGGCTACTGGTAAGAGGAAGGAACAGTAACCTGGCTCCTGCTTTCTGGGTCCTGAAACCGGCTAGAGCCAGCTTTGTGGTTTGGACAATGACCAAGTCACCAGGGAGCATGAGCAACTATTAGAGGTAGAAAGTTTAAGCAGAGGAAGAGTCATTGACTTCATCTTGAGACCCTCACCCACGACCACCGGGAGTTACTGCGCAGCCGCAAAGGACCTTTTAGCTCATTATAATACGAAGCAGGGATAGGACATGAATATGTATAGGCATGTTGTGTAACCTAATACGTACGTATAATTTTAGAGAATAAATAAGGGGAGAAACGAGGTTGCAGCGGGCATGCCTTTGGAGGAACGATCCCCCATGCGTCTCAGCGCTGAATAAAGCATACCTACTTTACAAGTTTAACGAGTTGTGGAGTCTATCCCATTATCACTTTGGTGAGCCAGGCAGGAGACATCTGTTCAGCTGAAGGATCAGCTTAGGGGAGACATCCTAGGCACCCCAGGCAGCTTGCCTGGAGGAGCTCCGCTTTTCATCCGCTCACTGCGGGGGCAGACAACAACCTGTGCCGGCTGCGGAGAAACGGTATGCGTGGGATTTAGGTTTGTAATTTAGAGGGCCTATAAGTCGTACGCTTGGCCTGGGGCTGCTGGTAAGGCACGCAGAGACATCTGGCGCGCAGCGTAGTTCCCCTTGGCAGATGGGGCTTGCAAGCAGGTTGGGGACTCGTCGACCGATAGAGCGGCTGCTAGCGATCCTGAAGGTGGATCGGGTGAGTCCAGGGACTCGTTGGCCGATAGGGCAGCGTAACCAGGCGAGAACTGGGAGGGCTTATAGTTGAAGTGGGATAAGCTTTCCCTGCTGACAGCCTCCCTGGGGAGTTCTTGACTTCCTGTCTAGCCCTGTGCTGGTGGCAGGACCTGGTATCACACCATCCTCAACAGTCACTCCCAGCTTCTTTCCACCATGGATCCTGAAGCTGGCAGCTTTCTTTGGGCTCCTCTTCTCTCCTGTGAGGAGCAAGGGTGCACAGGCACTTTGATAACCAGGGGGATGTTTCTCTAAGCTCGATAATTTTGCCACCTTCCCTCCCTCCTCTGTGAAGTTGCTCTTGGTCACACTCCAGCACTTGAGACATGAGCCACGAGCCACAGCGATGAGCCAGCCAGAGCTACAAGTCCTGTGCTGAAGCTGAGCACAGCTGTTGATTTTTCACCCTGGGGCTGGTATGCAGAGAACCTTACAGCATCTCTTCTCTCCCCATTCACGGCAGGTTCGGGCGGATGGGACAAATGGAAACTGAGTCACGTCTGTTTTTCCCGATGGGGACCACACGCTTGGCAATGCCCTCCACTACATGGTTGTGAGGTAAGTGGAGTCACTACAGCCCCTGGTACCACTGGAGGTTCCTCTGTCTCCTGTTCTGCCCTTCTTCACTAAGTTGCATCTCAGTTGCTGCTGGAACAAGGCAAAACTACCTCTGTGCATGCTTGTTGGAGAATTTATATCAGAGCTCATGCCAGAGGCTCCTTACCTACCCCCTCCCTTAACAGGATTCACTTTCTCCTTGTGCTGTTAGCCCTGAGAGCGCTAATAGGCCTTGATGAGTATGAACAGCCTCACCTGGGGCCTCCACACACACCCTGCCCACAGGCTCAGGAACCCCATTTAAGCTTTCAGTCCCTCCTGGGCTGTGTTGTATCTATATGGGTCTTCAGCTCAGCTGTTGGATGCTGACCCATGGGCTGACTTCCTGACCCAACATCAGCCTCTCCTCAATGTTGTACATTGTACATCTGCTTGGTGCTCATAGGTTTTGTCTGACCCTCTTTACCCTCACCCGACCTGCAGGTTGTCTTCCTGGCCCGGCCTCGCACCTATTTCACCCCCACAAACCTGCCTGGTGACCTGGACCCTTGGCTGGCCCTGGCTACCACCTTTGCACCTTTGTTCATGCTCCCAGCTCCCCGTCCCGTAAGGAACAGCCAGCCCTCGCTGCTCTGATGGTTAGTAGAGAGGAAATGGAATGGCAGACATGTGACAGATTTCTGAATGTCTTACGTGGCTCTGGGTAAAATGATGTGCAACTCTGTAAGTACAGGTGGTCAGGCAGTACCTATGTCGCCTTCTGGGGCAAGTGCTGTCAGAAAAGAGGGTAGGAACAGCCAGTATTAAGCAAATTGATCCCCTTTAATGCTTCCATCAAGATGCAGGAATTGGTGCTGGAAATTAGTAATCCTGCTGCCCCCATTAAAATATACAAATGCCTTCACTGGTTTTATCCAGCTGGGAGGCACTGGGGGTTTGTGAAGACTCACTGGGAAGGCTCAGAAGAATTCCAGCAGGAAGTTCAATGCACCATCTCAAATGACAGTCGCATTGCAAATGCTGTGTGAATTCCTCTGATGTCTCACCATGACAAGAAAAAGAGCAGCCTTCTTGTGAGGGGCTGTGCTTTCTGCTGTGTGCGCAAATGTTCTACCAACCACCTCGGCTTGTGAAGGCAGATGTCATGCAGTCTGCAAACATCTTGTGGTGCCCTAGACCCATCTGCCTCCTTTGCCCAGCAGAATTGCAACAGGTCTGTGTGGAGGGAGGTTTCCACGCAGCCAGGATCCCCTGTTTGACCAGGGTGCCAGCCAGGTCTTTCCCCTGCCAAGTTCCAGCTGCAGCTCAGAGATAGATGGAAGGGTGTGAATAAGGTTACAGGGGGAGTGTCCTTTGAGCACATCCCTCCCATAAGACCCTCAGTCATATTAGAAACGTCCTGAGCCCCAGCAGGTCTGGGGTGGCCCAAGCCTCTGACTTCCCTGAGATTTGCTGTGGATTGGCCTGGGTTTTACTGCTCTCTTCTCCTCTCGCCCTTCCTGCAGCCCTGATGCGGAGTTCTGTGGCTACTGTATCACACACCCCTCTGAAAGCAAGATCAGCTTCCGGATCCAGACCAGAGGTATGGGGTGTGCATTGCTTTGACGTTCAGGGCCCTTCCTTTGTGGAATCCCCTCTGTTCACGTCAGGTTTCCACCATGAGTCATTTCAATAAAGAAAACCACTCTTCTCCCTCTTCTCTGCAGGCACGGTACTGCAGTGCCGGGGTAAGGTGGATCTGCTAAGTCCGGTCAGGGGTGATGGGTGCTTCACCTGCCCCTAAATCAGCAGAAGATTTGGAAAGCCAACCCAAAGGGTGCTGACATACATAGCTGCGGTGAGAATTTGCTTCTGCTTCTTCTTGCTTATCTGGCAGCTTTGCTCATCAGGCTGTGAACCAAAGCTCTCTTGAAAAGTTTGTGCTGTCTCTTGACTTGCCTCCCAGAGGGGTCTGTGTTCTCTGTTAACAGGCAGCACTGGCAACTCTGAGCCTCAGGCCATCACTCACTCCTCCCAGCACACCAGCCCATTCAGCTCAGTCTACTGCCCTCCATCTAGGCTCCACAGCTTTGTCTGCTGCCGCAGGAGGACAGTGTTATTTCATTCCTTCCTTATGGGGCTGCTCCCCTGAGTATCTGAGTTTGTGCTTGCTGGCTCTTTAATTTCCTAAAAATGAGTAGTGCTGAGGCTGTTCTTGCCAAGGGAACCCCTTCCCTGTGGGGCTCCTGCAGGGTTTGGCTCTGCCCTTCCTGCACCGTAGCCTGGCCTGAGCTCAGCTCTCAGGGTGCTGACGGCGGGCTGGTAGGAGGGAAGTGTGTGGCATGTGCCTGGTGTAAGAGCCTGTTCCCGTCATGGAGGAACAACCACACTGCCCAGAGCAGTGAGGGAGAGGGCCACCAACCCCTTTGGAAACCACTGGCCCATCTTCTTTCCCAAAGGGGCCCTTCCTGCTGTTGAGCCATGCCAGAAAGGAATGAATGACCTGATGGGTGTTTGCTAACATGTACTCAACACCTTTGAGGTGAGACTATTCCTGAAGAGTTCAGGGGGCTTTTCTGTCTCTTGGTCTCAGAGGTGAGAGGAAAGGGCTGACAGCTGTGTTGTAGGCATAAAGAACCTAGAGTTATCTCAGACTTTCTCTGCCTGACCTGCAGCATGGCCTGGCTTCCTGTTCCTTGGAGTGAATGTAAAGCTCAGTCACTTCTGAAGGTACCTGGAGCTCTGCCAGAGCTGCTCAGGATCCTCTGCACTGGGCAGAGGAGTCACAGCACAGATCAGAGTGGCGGCATGGGGTGTACGAGCTGCTCAGGTATACGCTGTTAACGTTTGTTCTTTGCTCTTGCTTGCAGAGGAGCATGAAGGAGTACAGGGCCCAGAGGGAGGAAGAGATACAGTAGCATTTGGGGATGGCAGTCTCCATGGACGTGTAAGGTCTGTGTGTTGAATTCCCTGTGCCAAGTATTTCTGGTAGTGTGTTTTAGGACTGCTTTGATGCAAACCTGTATTTTCTGTAATAATAAAGATTCTGCAGGCTGATGTTGCAGAGGTGACGCTGTGTTCAGCTCAGCAGGGTATGAAAAAAGATAGAAGGCAGTTCTTCCCCTCCTCTGTCTTCTTTCTATCTCTTTCCAAGTGTCGTTGCTGTTTCCTGCCCAGGATTTGACAGTTTTCAGGTAGCCTTGTGCACAGAACTAGTCTGCCCCACGTCCACAGGGAGCAGAGGGGCTCAGCACCATGTAAAGTCCAGCTTTTAGAGAGGCAGCACCTTCTCCCAGTTTCGGTCTTTCTGTTGCAGGCACCACTGCAGTTGACTTCAACAGATACAACCAGCCATCCTTTTCAAACAGATCGTTATCTGCTTGCAGCCCAGAAGCCCCCTGTGCTGGGCTGCATCCCCAGAGCGTGAGCAGCAGGTCGAGGGAGGGGATTTTTCCCCTCTGCTGCACTCTGGGGAGACACCCCTCCCCTGCAGTCCTGATCCAGCTCTGGGGCAACACCACAAGAGGGACGTGGAGCTGCTGGAGTGAGGCCAGAGGAGGCCACGGAGATGCTGTGAGGGTTCTGGAGACAGGCTGAGAGAGCCTGAGAAACCTGGAGAGGGGCTTTTTACAAGGCAGTGTAGGGACAGGACAAGGGGGAATGGCTTTAACCTGACTGAGGGGAGATTGCTGCTTAATGAGAAACACCCAGGAGAAAGAGTCTCCTTTCAAACACCACCACATTTTAGTCACATACAGAGGAATAAGAGGGAGTGTAAGAGAAACAGTGTTGGTTTTGCATAATTGGGGATGGGGCTTTGCAAGATTAAGGCTTTCCAATATTAAGATTTTTCCGTACTGGGGCTGGGGCTGTTACTCAAGGAACAAAACAAAGGGTTTGAGGTACCGTAACTTAGAAAGACACACTCTGTGGTTAAAGACAGTATCATCTCTGGACGAAAGATACACTCTGTGGTTAAAAAGAATACTCTTTGTACTACCTGTGACTAAGCCGGTGCAGGTTGGTTAAACGTAAGTCGAGGTACCACGTGTCTGCCAGAGAGTTCTGAAATCGATCCATAAAAAGAGATAAACAAATGAGAGGAAGTGGCATACAAAACTGAGTAAGGGGAGATGTAAGAGATCGAGTAAGGGGAGAGGTGGGACAATTGGCATGTAGCTGATACGTGTCGAATAGGCTGTAAACCTTGGAGTCCCCAGCCAATGGGGAAACAAGGGAGGGAACTTGCGGACAGCATAGGAAATACAAATCATTGTTCTGCTTTTGCTGTGTGTATGCCTGCTTGCCAGGAGACCCGTTTTTGCAATGACATTAATAAACAGCTGCTTCACTGCTGTGTCTACCCTGACCTGAGCAGTGATCTCGCCCTTCCGGGTGACTGCCCCCAGTTTATACACTGGGCACGACGTGCTGTGGTATGGAATACCTCTTTAGACAGTTTGGTTCAGGTGTCCTGTCTCTGCTTCCTCCCGGCTTCCCCTCCTCCCTGGCAGAGCATGAGCCTCAGGAAGTCCTTGGTCAGGGTAAACATTACTGAGCAACAACTAAAAACATGGGTGTTATCACCGCCGTTCCCAGGCTGAGAGTCAAAACCACAGCACTGCGCCAGCTACTAAGAAGGAGAAAAATGGCTGCTACTGCTGAACCCAGGACAGAAGAGGCAGAAATGAATTCATTTCATTGCCATTTAGTGCAGGCATCCCAGAGGCTGAACTCCACTGAAGCTGAGAACCTATTAAACCTGGAAGATGGAGTTGACTTAGCCAGGTGAGAAACACCCAGACCGACCTCTAACGGATGGAAAGAGCATCCTTGCTGCTGCACTGGGACATTTCAAAGGAGATGCAAGGGAGAGGAGGAGCAAAGTGTGGAGCATCTCTGGAGCCAGGGGCTCTGGTGCCCCACACGCATGGCAGAGGAGAGGGCTGCAGTGGCCTCCCTCTGTGCCAAACCCTGCATAGCCCAACGACATAAGAAGACCCTACAAATAGCTGTGGGTGTGATACTGTTTCCACTGTATCTCAGGATGGTTTTGGCTTGGACAAAGAGAAGTTGCCTGAGGTCCATGATGTTGTGATGCCCCACGGGCATTCCCTCAGAAAGCTGGCTAAGCCCAAAGGCACCCACAGCAGGGCTGAAATCCAAAGGGCTGGGGTGAAGGGCTTCTTCACTGTGAGGGCGCTGAGGCACTGGCACAGGGTGCCCCGAGAAGCTGTGGCTGCCCCATCCCTGGCAGTGTTTAAGGCCAGGTTGGACACAGGGGCTTGGAGCAAGCTGCTCTCGTGGAAGGTGTCCCTGCCCATGGCAGAGGATTGGAACTGGATGAGCTTTAAGATCCCTTCCAACACAAACCACATGAGAGTTCAGTTGCCCTGACTGGACTCACTTGTCCAGAGCTTTTCAGACTGTCAGATGGGAATGATCAGTCCCCATGCTGAGACAGCAGCAAAGACCACAGCAACCACGGCGATCCTCAGCACATCCTGCAAGGGAGGGGAGAGACCTGGAAAACACAAACCCGAGGAGCTGGGAGTGAGACCACCGCTGGGCCCAGCAAGGGTGGCTCTGGTGGTCCATGGGGCTTCTCTGTCACCAGGACACATTCAATTCATTTGCCACCTGGTGTCGCATCTGCGCTTTGTGCTGCAGGCTGTGGTCCATGGAATGTCCAACCTGGGACAAGTGCTGCCCATAGGCTTTCTTGGCCACCCTCCAACCCCCCCCCAACATGTTCTGCTCACCATCGCCTTGGCCAAGGGCCATCAACCTGGGACCTCCTCCAAGAGGGGTCTGCCAATCTCCTGCCATCCATCCTGCCGAGGATTGTGCCTTGGTGGGATCAGAGACTGGGAATTGCTGCTGATCATCCTACTATGGGGATGATGTTCCTGTCAACAGCACGTGGGGCACAACCTCCCGAGAGGGCAGCTGAACCTTGGGGGATGGAGGCAGAGGCATGGGATGAAACCACCCAGGGATCTCCAAGGAAGGGTGGAGAGAAGGAAGAGGGATGGGAGGTGAAACTGCAGCAGCCATCACCTGCAACTGTGATGTTCAGGGAGGTTTCTTCCCAGGTGAAGGGCTGTGGTAGCATTATGGCAGCAGCATTATGACAGCAGTGAAGGGATAATGCCAAAGTAAATGAAGGGAATTGCTGGGAGTGATATCGAGGAGGAACTTCTGTGTTATTTCAAGTCTGCTCTTATCTCTGAGGCAGCATCTGGTACCGGCAGATTGCAAAAAGACCGTCAGGCAGCGTGGCCTGAGGCTGAGAACTTTGTCCTGACTTCTCCATAAGGAGGCTCCATGGGCTTAGCTCTGCCTGCCCTCAACACGTGAGGAGGTACCATCTGCAGAGGGCACTGGCACACAGCACTCCCCCAGTCCCTCCCTCCCTGCACTGAGAATAGAAAGCAAGGGAGGGAACTGTGTTTCCAGGATAGAGCCCAGCCCTCTGTCACAGCCTGGAAGGTCTCCTTGGGCAGCATCACCAAATCTGCTCCCCTAGGACATGTTGGGAACCTCTTCCCAGAGTCTCCCTGGTGATGTCTCCATGCATGACAGGCTGATAGTCCATAAACACTCAGGTAACGCCCCTGCCCTGCTTGCACCCATTACCCCCTTCTTTCCTCCCATGCCCACCACTTACTGAGGACTTCCAGCAGGATTTTCAGGCTCTCCCTGTCTCCCATGTTGACAGTTGCTTTGTAGATGCCACTGTCACTTTCCTGGACACGCTCCTCCAGCAGGAGAGATCCATCGGATGGACGGAAAACAGCTCGTCCTGCGTAGGGTGCGTGGATGGCTGGGCTGTGGGATCCCTTGTAGTACTGCAGGACGGTGTGGGAGCTGGCACCACTGAGGTATTCCCACTGCACGGAGTAGACCTGCGTGATGTTACCCAGCCCAGGAAGCAGCACTGGGGATCCCACAGCAGCAACTTTACTCTTGAGGGTTCCAAGATTTCTGCAGCCTGTTGCAAAGGCACCGGCAGCCCTGGAGGGCAGGAGAAGAGATGAGCAGGGGAGATGGAGCAAGTTGGCATGGCTGGAGAGAGGCTTTTTTACCCAGATGCCAGGGGCACACACATGGTACGTGGACTACTTACTTGGTCACAGCCTCTCACAAAGCCATCTCCCATCACGCCTCCAGGCAGGGAGACATTCCAGCTGGAGCAGATAGAGATGCCGAAACACAGCCCAGGATGGTTGGAGCTCTCTGCTTGCAGCGCTGCAAGCTTTTTCTACTCCACTTTTAGGTGGAGTTCCCTCCCAGTCCATGGCAGGAAGAGATTTTCTAATTCTGACCCAGTTTCCATGGTTCATTCCCAATTCCCAGCCTTGTTTGGGGCTGAAGGTGTCCATCCACTCCCAGCAGAGCTGCCTCTCCCAAATCACAGGGTGATTTCTGGGCTTGTCGTGACTTGGGCTCTCAGAGGCACTTGGGGACTTCAGGAGGAGGGTAAGTCACAGTGTCACCCCCTTCGTTTTTTGCCACCCCCACCCCCCCCCCCAAAAAAAAAAAAAAATCACAACAAAACAAACCCAGTGCTTTCTAGAAAAGCCAGGCAGAATCACAACCAAAGCCCTGGGTTGGGAAGTGGAGTCTTAAAAACATACATGTTTTAAAGGGTGAATGTAAAGGGTTTAAAGCAAGGAGCCAGCCCCAAGCAGAGGAGGCAGAAGAAAAGGTGTCTATGCACAGGCGGTGGTCCATCCAGCTACTTGCTAGCAGTGTTCCTGGTGCTCCTGGGGGCTGCTCTGTTGGAGTGCCAGGATTTCTCCTAAAGCTCCTCCTCTCCTGTGTAACTGCTCCAGGGGAGCATCAGCTCCCAGGCTCCCAGAGACAGGGACCAGCATCAGCCTGTCCCAGCCCCGCAGCCAGGCTTCCCACCGGGACACAGGCTCCAGCAGCGCTGGGACGCTGGGCAGGTGGGACACGGCACCCTGGCTCCCCACACACCCCATTTGCTTGCCGGTGCCCTGGTTTCTGCCTCATCTGCAGTGGCCGCTCACGAGTGTTTGCTGC